ACAGTTGGCGTTTGCTAAACAGCCCTGGGCGTTTACCAAACAGTCCTGCCCTGTTTGATAACTCCCTTGGTTGCGTTACGTTCAGTCAAAAGCTTCGCCTGTCTGTTGAGGGTGGCCTCTCTGCCGTTGTAATCAGCCCCGCTGCTGGGTGGCTGGGCGCCCAGGGCCGAGTGGACCGGGGCCAAGACGCCGCCCGAACTTGCCGAGCGTAGCAAAAGTTCGGTTGCTTCTTCGGCTCGGGGAGGGTCTGGTCGGGTCAAGGTTTCTGGGCTTGCGATTCGCTGGAGGGTTCTAACAATGGTTGAAGACAGGGCCACAGAGGAGTCCCACAGGGGGGGGGGGTAGCCTTGGGCCGCCCAGTCTGGCACGGTCCGGCGGCGGTTGCGCTCGTCTTCCCCGCAGCTTCTTCAGGCATCGTGCTCTCGCCCCCCATGCCGGCCAGCTCTTTGCTCCCGAGGGCCACGACCACTGGCCAAAAGCATCCCTGAGGTGCCCCGGGACCGCGTCAGGGTGCTGCCGGGGTGCTCCACCGTGGCAGCCCTGGGCCCCGCTCGGGCCCGCGAGAGGCCCCCGCGAGAGGCCCCCGGGGGCCTGCGGGGGGCCCCGCGGGGGGCTCGAGGGGGGGGGGGGGGGGACCTCGGCAGGCCGCCGGGAGGAGAGGTGCGGCCCTCCCGTGGGCCGGCCGCGGGCGCAGGCCAGTTCCCCTACACGATCGGCAACGCGCAGCTCATGAAGGAGCTCTTCGGGGACCGCTTCGAGTTCATCGGGCTGCCTGCGGCGAGCCCCACCGCCGTGCCGGTGCGTCGTCGGGGCCCGTGCGGGGGAGCAGTCCTCCTGGGGCTCTCTCCGGGAGGCAGCGCTGCGGTGCTGCACGCGGCTCGTCCCGGCTGTCACCTCGCGTGCCTGTCGCGTTGGCGCTCGGGGGTCTCTGGAGGGGCTTCGCTTGGGTCCTTCTGTCCAGTCCTGCCAAAGGGGGTCGGGGTAGATGCGGCGCGATCCTCCGACCTCATCTACTCTGACCCCATTTAGGAGGCAGGGCTCGACCTAAACGGTGTTCTGGCGATCTCGTGGACCGTTTTCGTTTTGACTTCGTTTTGCAGCGAAGGCGGAGCGAAAAAAAACGAAGGAAAACAAATACAAAACGGAAACGAGAAGCACTGTTTGGTCGAGCCCTGTTGGGAGGCCTCTACATTCCGTCGGGCCTGTTCGGCGCCTCGGGGCCGCCCCGGGGCGCGGTGGCGCTGCCGAGGTCTTCCGAAGGGGGGCTCGGCGGCAGCGTTTTTTGGGTGGCTGCTTGGGCGGGTGTTGGGAACGGACCGTCTGGGAGCCCGCCCAGGGCGGCCTTGGGCCGCCTTAGACGGGAAACCCCCATCCAACACGGGATGCGAGTATGTACGTCGTATTCATTCGGGCCTCTGGCCAAAGGTCCTCCGCAGAGCTGAGAAGGACCAGAGGCGAGGGCAGAAGCACCCTCAGTAGGTGCAGGCGGATCTCATATTCATACCGCTACGCGATTCGCCAGGGTCTCCAGAGTCTCCCGCCCTGTTGGCGACGCCTTGACGCAGCCTCCTATGCGCAGTCTGGTGGCCCCCGAGGGGGGGAAGCGGGTCCTGGGCCCATCGGGCACGTCAGTGCCGGATGTTCACCAGCGCAATCCCGACCTGAAGTGCGACGTCATTTCGACGAGCAAACGTTCTGTTTTGTCCTGCTGCTGCTGCTGCTGCTCCTCCTCCTCCTCCTCCTTGTTTCTTCTGCCCTTCCTTCGTGGTCTGTTTCTCTATTCCTCCAGGCCTGCATTCCTCCCTTCCTTCGTCCTTTTTCCTTCCTCCTTCTGCCTCTCCCGGCCCTCCAACCTCCCTCCTCCCTCCTCTTTCCTCCCTTTCGTCTCCTTACTATCTGGCCTAATATCGCAGAGCTGGAAGATGCGGGGGAGGGAGGATGGGGGGGGGCAGCGGGGACGAGGAAAGAAAGGGAGGAGGATGAGAGGAGCGGGGGATGGGGGTGGAAGACGTGGACGAGGAGGCGCCGCGGAGTCCCTTCCAGCGACGGGGTTGCGCACCCCGAGTTGCTGAGCTCGTTGGCTGGGGCGGCGGCTGGTACAAGTTTGCGGGGTCTCCTGCCCAGGGGGAGCATCCGCTCCCGTTTGTGGCGCGCCATTTCCTGCCCTTGCGGCGCCGACGGCGGCTCCGTCATGGCGGGCGGGGTACGTGTCTGACGAGCCGAGCAGCGCAGCGCAACCCAGAAGGGAGCCATCGCAGACAATCCAATCGTGCGCGCAGGAGATGCACGCCCCGCGGGCGCCTGGTTGGTCGAAGCGGGCGCCACGACGTGGAGGTGATGGGCCCCTCCAGGTGGCTTCCCTGCCCATGGAATGCCGAGACTTCTCCGGCACAGCCCTGCTGGCCAGGCGAGGGACGCGCGGGCGGTGCAGAGATGCTCCGTGCGCAAACGCCGAACGACCCGCGCGGGCTCCGCAGCGATGCGAGCCCGCGGCGGCGGCAGAGGGCGAGAGCGCCGCGGCGCGGCGGAGGCCCCTCCGCGCGAGCCGCTGGGCCCCGGGGGTCGAGAGCTGCGGCTCGGGAGGCCGCTGCCGCCGAGGGGCTTCTCGCGCGGGGGGCGCGCGGGGCGTGTTGCCGCGGGCCGGCGCCGCGGCGGCGGTCGCCCGCGGAGCCCGGCGGGCCCGCGCGCGCCGCGCGGCGGCGGCCGCAGCAGCGCCGGCCGCCCCGCGCTCTGCCGCGCCCCCGGTGGCGCGGAGCGCCGGCGCAGCTGCGTCCCCGTGGCGCGCGGGGAGGCGGCGTGCGAGGGGCGCGGGGGGGGGCGCCACCGCGCGCGGGGGGCGGCGGCCGGTCGGCGGGGCGCGCCCCCTTCGGCGCGGCGGAGGGGAGGCGGCGCGGCGCGGGGCGCTGTCGGGGCAGCACCTGCTTTCCGCCAGCGCCGCGGTGCGTTGGCCGAGCCCGGGAGTCGCCGCCGTGGGTTCCCGCACCGAGTGGCACTCAGGAGGGAGAGAGAGGAGCACAGACACGCGTGGAGCAGCTGATTCCCGGGGCCAGGGGTGAGAGTGCTGGGCGTGGACAGGTAGGGGAATAGGGGGCATCCATGAGATAGGGACAAGTCTAGGGAATCTGGGGACGTGTGCCGATTCATTGGTGCCCCCATATATCGGCACGAACGGGATGGGTACGGAAAGAATGGGTACAATGCCCAACAGCAGTTCCTGCCCACTCTGAACAGGACTCGCTGTCCGCGCCGCCGTGGCCTGTGTCCATTCGAGGCAGAAGGCCGCTTGCCCAACAGCGGCCTTGTAGCCATTTTTTCCGTACCCATTTCGGGCGTCCAAAGTGGGGGCGGTGGCCGTCCGCGGCGGATATTTACAGCCTGCCTCTGTGGAGGTGCGGCCCGCGGTGATGCCGTCCGCGCCTGGGTGGCTCGCCAGCGTCTCCGCGCGGAAGAAGTCGGTGTCTTTGACCGGGGCAGCGCGGCGGATTAGAGTGCATGCATTCGTGTGCGGCCCCCCTGTTGCTGCGGCGCCGTCGAGGATCATGAGAGAACCTTCGACGACGGCTGCATTGCCGACGTCCGCGTGAGTTGAGAGTTCCGCGAGGGCGACCATGCGCAACAAGGCCTGGTTCTCGACGCGCTGGTCGTTCTGTGCCAACCTGTGGATGCGGTCTGAGAAGTTGAGGCGGTGGCCTGGGCCGTATAATACTATAAGGCCCATCTTGAACTAGCGGGAAAGTGGCTTCCCAGGCATTGTCGGCTCGGCGTGCTGCTAGGGGCCCGCATGGACGTCGGCCATGTCGAACAATACGTCCATGCCATCGGAACGACGTCCGCGCAGCGTTGCTCGATGGTGTCACCGAGCTCGTGCCGCTCTTCGGTAGGGATATGGCACCAGCAGCTCGTCCTCGCTTAGCGTGCCCCCTTGGTCGGAAACTGGAGCATGTACATTACCAGTGGCGGGCTGTTCCTCAATTCCAGGACTTTTGAGGGTCGGGCACGACGTCGGGGTGGTGTGCTGTATACTAGTTTCCCCGCTTTCCTTGGGAAACAGCGAAACAAATATATACCAGGATCTGCTTTTCTGTGTAAACTTCGGTGCAGGGCCGCAAAAAGCGTCGGTGTACAGAGTTCGGTTCCCCAGCAGTCAGAGGGGGCGGGCCCTTTCAGACGGCTCGGAAGGCCTTTGGCCTTCTGGGAAGCTCTCTAAGCCTTCTCCGAAGACTCAGACGGCTTCTACAGGGGCCAGATGCGAACCCTACCCCTACCCCCCCCACGATTTCTGAGGGGGGGGTAGGGGCAGGGTTCGCATCTGGCCCCCTATTCTAAGAAGGCTGGAGGGCTTCTGAGAAGCCCCTCCAGCCCCCCGAGAAGGCCTGCCCCTTCTCGCTGCCCCGCCAGGCGCGCGTCGCCGAATAGTGCTGCGCCCGTGGCGACATTCGTCGGGCCCAGGTGGTCGGGGCCGTCGTGGGCCGGAAACGGCATCAGGGGCGGAAAAGAGGGGGGTGATGACTAGGGGGGGGTGGATATCATGGCGGGGGCCATGATATCTCCCCAGATTTCATGGCGCCTCTTCTTATTTCATTACGTCCCTGGCCCCCCCGCTGGGCCGCGCACATGCCGCAACGGCTCCAGGATTGGAACCGGAGCTGGAACCGGTAGAAAGACGGCGACGGAAGCGGTAAAAAAACGGCGTCGGAACCGGCTACAAGCATCGGCAAAACGGAGCCGGTGACCAAAGCGGCCCTGTCGTTTCCAGGGCCCACCGAGGTCGGGCCGGCTTCTGAAGGCGGAGTGCGCCGACGTCCGTGCTGTGGCGTGCGTGCGTTGGAGGAGTGCCTGCGCGCTGCCCTCTCGCGCCGCGGCCTCTCATAGGTTTGGGCGTCGTACCACCCCCCCCCCCTCCCCCCTCTCCTGCACGGGGGGGCCTCCTCCTCCTCCTCCTCCTCCTCCTCCTCCTCCTCCTCCTCCTCCTCCTCCTCCTCTCATGGGTTTGGGCGTCGTGCCCCCCCCCGCTGTCGCGCGCACGCCGAGGGCACGCAGGTAGCCGTCGGCGCGCGAGGCCCCGAGGGGAGTGGGGCGGGGAGGAGCGCTTCGGCCCACCGGTGGCCGAGAGGAGGAGGAGGAGGGGGAGGAGGAGGAGGAGGAGGAGGAGGAGGAGGAGGAGGAGGAGGAGGAGGAGGAGGAGGAGGATGAGGAGGAGGAAGATGGCCATGAGGAGAGTGAAGACGTGGAGGACGGCGTCGGGGGATTATCCAAAGCGGGAACAGCTTTTGCTCGTCGATCGTCAGCGTTGACGGGGACCACTCGGCGGAGGGCACGTATGCAGACCTGGTGAACTTCAGGAAGCTGGCGTCGTGCAGGAATCGGATTGGGGAAGGGGGGAGGACGTGGAGGATGGTGTGAAAGGATAAGGGAGGTGGGCGGAACGTTAACGGTTTTTGCCCTTTTGGGCTCCGTGGGGGGCTCTCGCCGTCACAGTGAAAAGGCGCCCCCGGGAAGTGTGGGGTCGACTGTAAAGGCTTGCGCCATTCTCCCGACCCCCAACAGATCATTATCAATAACATCGGCCCAGAGTCATCGGCAACAACGCCTCATCAGGACCGCTGTGGGGGCCACCAGCCACCAGTAAAATTTTTCGGGCGTCATGGGGGCGATCCTCTATCGCCGCGAAACTGCACCAGGTGTCTCCCGTCGCCCACAGCGTCAATTTTCCCTGATGCGATGGAGCTTGCAGAAGCAAATTCATCTAATCAGTGGGAGCATATGCTAATGCACGAGCAACGCAATATGAGGCACCTTACGGCAAAAGCAATGCAGAATCAAAGCGATCGCAGGGCACAACCAGTGCACAGACAGTGCACAAGCCACGTAAGCATAAGCCAACACATTGAAATACGATGGAATGCAATGCGCTGCCAAGCAAACAACGCACCATCAATGCGCAAGTAATGCACTTGATACACATGCAATACGTGCAACAGCAATGCAATCGATGCAAGGGCATTGTACACACGACACCTGCGCAAGGCAAACGCAAAACCAACAATACAAACCAAGTCATGCAATAACGAAGCACTTGCAATGCACAGGAAATGCAGCAGCAATGAACAACAGGCAAGACAGCAATGCAATACCAGTGCAACACAATTCAAACGCGATGCAAGCGACATGCAAGGTGAGAGCAACGCTGTGCTATGCGAGTCTATGCTGTCTATGATATGCTAGCTGCTTTGCAATGCTATTCGACGTGCTATGCTGATCGAGATGATAACTCGAGCGTTAATTCTATATACTCATGGTCGTGAAAAACTTCCGAGTCAGCACGGGGAGCCATGGCCCCCAGTGCCGAGGAACCTGTCGCGCAGCCGGAGCAACGACCACCCGCCTTCTGCACAAAGCAAGTCGTGGTCCAAAATGAATTGGTCGTCGTTTTCTTATTCATTTTTTTGCCGATGGTCGCGGGCCCTCGTACCCCCCCCTCCCCCCCCGAGGAGTAGATCTTGGCTGTCTTTTGGCGCCTGTTTCGAGCAGGTGGAGTCTCCCCCATGGGGTGCACTGTTGCAAACAGTCGCGCTAAGCAGAGGTCCGGAACCAGCCCTCCCGCCCTTCCGCGAGAAAGCGCTCATTCGGGGCCCACGGCGCAGACGTTGGCGCCCAAACTGCCCGCGCGATGTCGCGTGTGAGGTGCCCTCTTCTCCGCGCGGGGTGCCGCGCTGGCGGCCTGCGTGAGCCACCGTGCAAGTTCGCGGCGTCGTTGTGCGTCAGCTTTTTGCCGCCGCTCAGCAGGAGGCAGGAAGAGATGGAGGAGGAGGAGGAGGAGGAGGAGGAGGAGGAGGAGGAGGAGGAGGAGGAGGAGGAGGAGGAGGAGGAGGAGGAGGATCCTGGGGGGGGACGGAGCGATGGAGAGAGGCTGCCGCCGAGCAGGAACTGGGTGCTCATGGACGACGCCGGCTGGAACTCCACCAACTCGGCCTGGCAGCGCGCCAAGGACGAGGGCATCATCACACAGGTGGAGTGCTTCGTGGACATGAGCCCGAGGTCCCCTGCTGTCCCGACGTCTCGAGGTTTGTTGACGTTCCTGTTTTGTAGTTCTCTCCGGAGATTGTTCAGACGGGGGCAAGCCAGGGATGTCCAGGGAGGAGGCCTCTTGACGTCCAGGCGTCGTGAGGAACAATCTGGACATAGCAGTCAGCAATACTAGACGGCCAAGGCGTTTTGAACAGATGTTATATGAGTGTCTGTGTTTATCATTTTTTTTCTTTCCTCTCTATCCCCCCCCCCTCCCTCTCTCTCTCTCTCTCCCCATGTGTATCTTTCTCTCAGTCTTATGCTTCTCTCTCTCTCTCTCTTCTATCTGTCTCTCCCTTTCTTTTTTGTTCAAAACAAAGTTTGTATACATCTATCATAAACAAATCGCCCCCCGGCTTGGGGGCGGCCACTCCGCAAGGAAAGGTTTTTGATACCCTCCCGATTCGCTTCCCAAAGGCGGCCTGGAGAGGCCAAGAGGGAGCCACAACAGGACAAGCGGACCCCACTCGGCCCCTGAGACGGTCCAAAACGCGCAAGACGGCCTCCAGACGTCCCAAGAGGCCCCCAAGATACCCAAGCGGCTTCGAAGAGGTCTCCCAAGAGAGCTCGAAGAAGCCAAACAACATTGATATACCTTAGGTTTTTGAGCAATTTTGGCGTTTCCGCCTGTTCCGCTTCCCGACGCTGCAAGACGCCCCAAGAGGCCCCGAGGATCGCCCCTAAGACGGCCAAAGAGGCTTCAAAACGCTCCAAGCCGGCCCCAAGACGGCTCCAAAACGGGCGAAGAGACGTCCAAATTTGCCTGAAAGCGCTCCAACCGCGGCCCAGGATGGGGACCGTGAACAGAGAACCCGAGATCTTCGCCCCAGGAGACCCCTAGAAGGCCTCAAGAAGTCCCCAGTAAGCCCCCCAAGGGGCCCCAAAGAACCCCAGAAGTGGTCCCGAGGGCATTTGAAAGAGGGATTTCCATTATTCTCTTTCCAAGCTCGCCTGGCAGCTGGGCTACGCTGGCAAAAATAGGAGCTATCATTTTTTTTTTTTTTTTCTTCCAAGGTGGCCTTGCAGATTGATAAGGGCCCTTCCCTCCCTCGCCCCCCCCCCACCCCGACGAACTCATGTGCCACGGTCCCAGGGGCTCTACGAAGAGCTCCGCGGCTTCTGTCCAGGATAGCCTGCGATGAGGACCGGGGGACGCACGATGGGCCAGGCTGGTGACGACGAAGCGACGACGCTGACGAAACATACGCTGAGGAAGACGACGACGACGGCGACAACTACGACGGCGACGACGACGACGACGGCCACGACGACGACCTTGGCCTCTTCGGGCGACCCCTCTCCGAGGGAAGGGCGGCTTCTAAAGAGGAAAGAAGAGAACTCTGTAGACGGCGTGCCCCCACAGAGAGCTGGCAGGATCGGAATTGACATTGGCATTTCTAGCCAGGTGCTCGCGTCCCTTACCAGCCTCGAACTTATCCCTATCCCTCAGACTGACACGCCAAAAGGCGATGACAATCTTAGGGAAGCGCATTCAAAAAAAAAAGGGAATCCCTAAGATTGGCATTGTGATGAGGCGATGCCCAGCTTAGGGATAGGGATATGTTCCAGGCTGGTAAATCCCAGCCAGACTGGCAACATGTAAGAGCAAACGCTCACACGTTGTCGCGCCAAGCTTGCGGCGCATGCGAGACCGCGCGAGCACGTGCCGCTCGGAACCGAGCGTCCTCGACATAGGCACCCGACAGTCTTCGACCGCACCAGCGCACCCCCGTCGCAAAATGCTAAGTCGATCGTCCGACGCCCCCGCCCCGAAACGATAACGCAATCACGAGATGAAGTAAGCCCTATGAAAGCAAGGATGAGGGGGGTCTGAAGAGCTTGCTGATGACCCTACTGGCCAGGGCTGCCGGACCGGCTCGCCTTGGCTTGGAGGTGTGCTGCGTTGGCTTTAGGCTCGGGGAGTGTCGCGTAAGGGAACCATGATCATGACAGGAAGGGGGCGCCCGCGAGCGCTCGCAGGGACAGCGCGCCTCAGAAGCGCGCCTGGATCGTGCGAGTAGAGCGCGCTGGTGACAGCGATTGTTGTTGGTTTGTTTCTTGCTTGTGCGTTGCTGGATGGCTGGGCAGCGCGGAGGGCTTTTCATCGAAGAGTTCCTGGATTGGAGGGTCGATTTCAGCAAGCGCGTGTCCCTCGCAGCGCCTGTAGCGAGCGAGGGGCTGGAGTCGGCCGCGGATTTAACGCTTTTTTTTTTCAGCGGACGAGGCGGAGCAGTGCGGCGTGCCCGCGGCCTGGGCCTTGGCCCGAAACGTGGCGCATGTGGTGCTGTGGTTGGTGTCCGCGCGTGGCATCAGCGCAGGCCGGTGCTGTCGCGGCGTTGCAGCGCCTGCAGCGAGCGCGGGGCCCGCGGCGGGGGAAGGGCGCAGATCCCTTGCTGCGCGCGGCGGGGCCTCGAAGGCGCGGCGGCCGAAACGCTGCGCCGCGGTGGCAAATCATGCTGCTGAGCGCGAGGGGCGCGTCCAGTTGGCGACCAGGGCCGCTCGATTGTCGTTGGAGTGGCGGCCGGGGGGAGGTCTCGGGCAGGGATTGCCAGAGGCGCAGGCCCAGATGCTCGCAGACGTCTCGTCCGCGGCGGCGTTAAGATTGAGTGGTTCCGAGTCGGCGACGTCTCGCGCGGTAATGCGCGCGTGGGGGCAGTGGGCTGAGTGGGTGGACCCGCAGGGGCAGTCGGCGTCGCTCCTCGCGCAGCAGCCCATGGCGGTCGCTGAGTTTGTCCACTCACTCTCGACCGCGCGGACGTCTGGCGTCAGGATTGGTTTCGCTACCGCGGGCCCGTGCGGGCAAGGTTTTTTTTCTTGTGTCCAATCCTGTTTGGGCGTTCGTGTCGGGCTGTTAGCCGTCGGGGAGGAGCCCCGTCTTCCTGGCCCCCCCCCTTGCCCCCGCGGGGCACCGTCGTAGGTTCGGGGGTGGGGCCGCTTGGGAAGGCCCAGCGTGGTCCGCGTGGGTAGCGAGAGGGCGGCCCTCCGAGGATCTGGGACATTTTGAAGTGGACGTGCGTGCACCTAGAAGCGCTTTTCTGCTTGGGCGATGCATTCGGCGTGTGCGGTGTGATTCGGGCAGCGGGGCCTTGGCGCCGCCGGTCCAAGCCGCCGTCGCCGAGCCCGAGATGGTTTTCCACGTGTGCGATATCCTTGACGGTGTTAGAACGCCTGGGGAAATGATGCTCGTGGCTGGAGGGCGCGCGATCTGCTGCCGACGCCTTATGGGCCGGCTGGCACGAGTGGGCGGCGGTGGAGGATCGCGCAGGAAGAGCTGTCCTGGTGGGGCTCGTTTTTGACCCGGTTTCGAGGCGCCAGTGAAGTTTGGTGCCCTCAACTGGTGGTTGCAAGAGGTCTTCGAAGGCTCGCTAGTGGACGATTTCCAGCTGGATCTTGTGACATCGTATAGCTTGCGTCGAGCGTGGCCCAAGTGGGCGTGCGCCCTGCAGCTGGACTGGGAAGCCCGGGCCATGTCGGGCGGCTCGGCGGAGGGGGGCGACGAGTCCCGCCGGGAGCAGATGCCAATCATGTATAATGTGCGTCGGCGGCAAGCCGAGGTGCGCGCGCGCTTGCACATGACTGGGGTGTCGTCCCGCTTGCGAGCCGACTTGGAGGCCCTGGCGCAGTGGGGGCAGGTGCGTTATTGGGCCAGTTCTGCGTCGAGGAGACAAGTGTTGGCTGGCCTGGGGAGAGAAGCGCAGCAGCGGCTGGCGATGTCGACCGCCCGCGAGCAGGCCGCTCGCCGCGGCTTGTCGTCGAGGGGTTGCGGCGGCAGAGGTTTCTTCGGTTGATCATTGCTCCGCGGGTTTGGCGCGGGAGAGCGCCGGGCGTGCCCCCGCCCGAGCGCAGGGGTCCTGCCGACGAGTGCTTCGCGGGTGATCGCGCTTGGGGGGGGGTGGCCCTGCGCCGCGGCGCCAGGTGCGCCTGCGAGTCCCGCGAAGCCTCTCTCTTCGAGGGCCCCGCGTGCAACGCGGGATGGGGCGTGGGAGAGCGCAGGGAGGTTTGCGCGTGGCGCTGCTTGCGAGTCCACGCGGGGCGCCGAAAGTTGTTGACGCAAGCGAGAAGCCTCTGCAGGTGGGGGCGCGCGCGCTGGCGGCGTCGGCGACCGTCGTGGGCCTTGCATGGCGCGTCGCGGGTTGGCCGCGCGGCCCAGCGGCGTTGTGCCCGAGTCTGGGAGGTGCTGGAGCGCGCTTCAATTCCAGGTTCAGGGGGGGCGCAGTTTCGTTGTCGCGGGTGGGCGCGACCCGTGCGCGTCCCAGCGCGTCTAAGATGAAGGGGGCCGGCCGCGCCGGAAGTGCGGCGACCGTTTGGCCGGGTGGCGAGGCGGCGCGGGGCGCGCCGTCGGTTGGCGGCGACGCAGTGGGGCTAGGTGGTGAGATAGCGCTCGGTGCGACGCCAGTTCCGACGAGCGCGGATGCATCTCCAGAAGCCCAAGCCTGTGCCCCCAAAAACCCAATGTGGAAGAAAAGTGCGGCGGCGGCGTGGGTTTGGCGCCAACCAGGAGAGAAAGGGGGGCACTGCGAGAAGAGGCGGTGGAAGAGGACACCTGCTACACCACCTACGCTCAGAGGACCGCTGGGATTTCTGGGAGTCCCTTGCGATATCGGGAGAATCCCAAACCGATTCCGACGATCCACAAAGAAAACGACGACGAAGACGACCACGATGATGACGACGACTTCGGCGACCATAAACCCCCGGGTAGACCTCCGGGCTCTCAAGGCCACGATTGGCCAGCTGACGTTGTTCCGCCATTGCGGCCAACGGCATGCCCTTCTCCTCCCTGCGTGTTCCCCTTGATTTTCTCGTCCTGATCCTGCTGCTGCTGCTGCTGCTGCTTCTTCTGCTGCTGTTGCTGCTCATCTTCCTCCCTCTCCCCTTCCTTCTCCTCCTCTTCTTACTCCTCCTCCTCCTCCTCCTCCTCCTCCTCCTCCTCCTCCTCCTCCCCTCCACCTCATCCTCCGTCTCATCCTCCTCCTCTTCCTCCGCCAACCCCCCGCCCTCCTACTCCTCTTCCTCCTTTTCCTTTTCCTCCTCCTCCCCCTCCTCCTCCTCCTCCTCCTCCTCCTCCTCCTCCTCCTCCTCCCCCAGGGGGGGCTCCTTCACCTCCTCTTTTTCTCCATCTTTCTCCGGCTACGCCCAGCCGCGGCGAAGAGAAGGGCCCCCGAAGTGCCTCGTGGGGCCTGTTTGAGCCCGCCGTGGGTGGACCGCAGGAAGGCTCGGAAGGCATTTGGAGCGTCTTCGTGGTTCTGGGAAGCCCTGGGGAAGAGCTGTCATGAACTAGAGGTCTCCGAGAGTTTGACCATCGGGCCGAGCTAGAATTTGGACGCGCGCGAAGCGCGCGCGAGGGTTTTGGTGTATGTTTATGTTTATGTTTATGTTTATGTTTATGCTTATGTTCATGTTTATGTTCATGTTCATGTTCATGGTTATGGTCATGGTCATGTTCATGTTCATGTTCATGTTCATGTTCATGTTCATGTTCATGTTCATGTTCATGTTCATGTTCATGTTCATGTATGTATGTATGTATGTATGTCTGTCTGTCTGTCTGTATGTATGTATGTATGTATGTATGCCTGCATGTATGTAGATATTTCGATACTTTTATGCATGTATGAATTCATGTATGTATATGTGCATGTATGTATGCAGGCATACATGTATGCATGACTGCATGAACGCATGTATGTATGTATGTGTGTATGTATGTGAATGTGCATACAACTACGCATGTATGCATGCAGGTATGTTTGTATGCATGTATGCATGTATGCACATATATATAAAGTCGTATGTATGTGTGAGGGTATGTATGTATGTATGTATGTATGTATGCATGCATGCATGCATGTATGTATGCATGCATGCATGCATGCATGCATGTATACATATGCGTGTATGCATGTATGTTTGTATATATGCAGGCAGACAGTCAGGCAGGCAGGTATGCATGTATGTATGCATACTTGTATGCATGTATGTATGCATGCATGCATGTATGTGTGTACAGAGGTACATACATGCGTGTTTGTATGTATGTATGCATGCATGCATGCATGTATACATGTATGCATGTTTGAACGCTTGTATGTGTGCATGTATGTATGTAGGTTTGTTTGTTTGTGTGTGTATGTATGTATGTATGCATGTATGTATGTATGCTTACATGCATGCATGTATGTACGCATACATGTATGCATGTATGTATGTATGTATATATGTATGTATGTAGGTATGCACATATGTATGTATGTATGTATGTATGTATGTATGTATGTATGTACGTACGTACGTACGTACGTATGTATGTATGTATATATGTATGTCTGTCTGTCTGTCTGTCTGTCTGTCTGTCTGTCTGTATGTATGTATGTATGTATGTATGCATGTATGTGTGTATATATATATATGTATGCATTCATGTATGTATATATATGTATGTGTGTATATGCATATACCGTTTTCGTTTTGTGCTGTTATGTATGGTTTTATTGCTTTCTTATTGTCACACTCAATATTGCGTCTCTCAGAGGAATATGTGTTGTTTTGACCGTTTCGAGCTTCGGTACTTTTGCGGATCATTTTGTTCCGAAGCATCCGTCGTTAAGACGGTGGTTCGTACATTTCAGTCTTGAGTTTGTTCCAAAGCGTCGTAATGCTTTCACGGCGGTGGACGTCTGGGCCAAGTGGGCGCCATGTATCCACTTTCGCAGATCCTGGCCAGGTCAACACCCTGGGCCCTGGATCGACTAGGGGGTCGACGAGGCTTGAGAGTACGGGGTCCTCCTGGACCTCCCCCCGGAAACCCACCTCCTCTCTGACGTCTTGACGCTGCGGGCCTGTCTGTTTCCTCCTCGCCCTCCTCCTCCCGCATCCACGATCCGCCCACCCTCCTCGTCGTCGTCATCCTCCGTCTCTTCGTCATCTTCTCCCCGTCGTCCGCCTGCCCCTCCACCTCCGCTTCCGCCTCCGCTTCCACCTCCGCTTCCAGGGCTGGCTCAGCCCGGCGCGCCGCTGCCCGGCAACCTTGGCCTCGGCCCCCAGCGCCCACCGAGCTCGCTCTGCCCCGGCGCGCGCCCACAGCGCTTCCACGCTCGCGGCGCGTTCCCGCCGCTGGCATTAAGTCGGGCCCGTCCCTCTACAGGAGGAGCATTCAAAATCAATGAAGCTCCGGGGGGACTGTTTTCTAGTATTCTGACCATGTTTGAATTTTTTTAGACCATGTTTCATTTTTCACCCACAGTCCGCCTGTAGGGTGACAGGCCCGACCTAACGCTTGCAGGCAGCCGCGGCTCGACGGGCTGTCCTTCCTGGCCCTACGGCCTGCCCGACCTAAGTCTAGTCGCGCCGCACTCGTGAGGCCTCTAACCCCGCGCAGCTCACGGACGGTGGCCGCCGTCCGTCCACTGGGCACGGCCGACGCCGCCGTCGTGGAGGCAGGCGCAGCTGGCCTCCCAGATCCACTGCGCGGGCGTCGGCACTGCGGGTGGCAGGGCCCCCGCGGTGCATGCCGTCGCTGAGGGCGGTGCGCGCTGGCTCACGGAGGGTGGCGATGTCCGGCGTGGGCCTGGTCACGCAGAGCTTTCCCTGGCGGGGAGACGGCTGGTCCGAGGTGTGGAGCTCGCCAGGGATCCAACGACGCCCAAGAGCAGCATCCCCGGCCAGCGCGAGGCCCGCCGCGCGCCCGACCTGTACCAGCAGAGGGACGGCACCAGCCCGAGAACGTGCGTCTTGTCCTCCTCTGGGAGGGGGGGCCCGCCGTCGCTTCCGTGCACGTTGGCCTGGTGAGGGGCCCCGACGGCCCTGTCGCAGACCACGAGGGGGCGCTGTCCATCTCTCTGCTGCCCTCGACCACGTGGCCTCCACCCTCCATGTGAACCGTTGGAATGCCAGCGGGGGAACGAGCTCATTGGTGGAGGGCAGCTCGTTTTCGGCACCTGGCCACGAGAACTGAGGGGAACGCTTGCCTTGACCAGGGCGGGCCCGAGGGGTTGGCGGGGAGGGCGGGCCAGGGTTGGTCCGGGTGGGCCGCATGGTGGGCCAGCGTTGGCGGGAGGACACTACCAGGGCTGGCCCGAGGGGTTGGCGGGGAGGGCGGGCCAGGGTTGGTCCGGGTGGGCCGCAGGGTTGGCCGGCGATGGCGGGAGGGTTGGCCGGGGCAATGTTCTTCGGTCGGTAGCTCTTTCCATGACGCAGAGCAGTGCTGCTCTTTGTCGTGCCCGCGGCTCTGCCGTAGGATGGGCGCTGCTCGACGCGCGCAGTGCAGACCTCTCTCTCCTATCCTCGTCCTCCTCCTCCTCCTCCTCCTCCTCCTCCTCCTCCTATCCTCCGCCCCTCCTCCTCCTCCTCCTCCTCCTCCTCCTCCTCCTCCTCCCTCATCCTTCTCCTCCTCCTCTCCTCCTCCTCTCCTCCTCCTCCTCCCCCTCCTCCTTCTCCTCCTCTCATCCTCATCCTCCATCTCCTCCTTCCTCACTCCTCCTCCTCCTCCTCCTCCTCCTCCTCCCCGTTCCCTTTTCCCTCTCCCTTCCCCTGGCCGTCGTCCCTCTCTCCCCCAACCCGGGGCACGGGGTCGACCCGGCCAGCACTGGCGGTGGGGTGGGCCGGGACTGTCGGATGCCGCCCCCTCCCTCGAGGCCCGACTACCAGTTCATGGACTATCCCGAGAACCGCTCTTGGCACTGCTCTTCCTCGCCTTCGGCCTCCGGCCCCCTCCTCCTCTGTTATTCCTCTTCCCGCTCGTCCCTCTGTCCTCCCTCTCCTGGCCCATCCCTCCTCTTTCTCATCCCTCCTCTTCGTCCTCCTCTGTCATCCCTCTTCTTGCTCATGCCTCTGTCATCCCTCTTCTGGCGCATCCCTGTTCTTTGTCATCCCTCTTCTTCGTCCTCCTCTGTCATCGGTATCCTTGCTCATCCCTGCAGTTCTCCACTGCGGGCGCCGTCTCCCCCAGTCTCCCCAGGTGTGATTGATCCTGAGCCGAGCATCGTTGCCATTTCAGCTGTACCTACTTTGCAGGAATAGTTACAGGTGTGCATGCATGCATGTATCTATTCATGTGTTTGTTTTGTGCATGTACGAAGCGAACCGTAACCACCCAGGCTCGAATCTAGAAGTCACGCCTTAGAGCCAGGCGGAAGAACTGTGCAACGCAGCTTGCGAGTTTTTGGTTTCATCGCGACATCCGAGTCTCGACCCCCCCCTCACCGCGCGTCGTGGTCATCGATCCTCGTCGTCGTCGTCGTCGTCGTCGTCGTCGTCGTCGTCGTCGTCGTCGTCGTCGTCGTCGTCTTCCGTCTGCAGCTTCTCGGCCTCCTTCCGCCCCCCTTTCCCCCCTGATTCACCTCCTCTCCACCTTAGTCTTACCCATCTTCGTTTACTTCATGAGGAGAAAAAACACACAGACACAATTAATCGTCGATTCCCCAGAAAATGTGGGCAGTGGGGGGGAAGACAGAAACCCAGAAAATATAGGAAAATACTGGGAATCCTTTGATGTGTGTGTATTTATTTGTGTGTCCCAGGGCCCCTTCATTACTGGCCGTCCTTCGCCGGGTCGTCCTCCTCATTCTCCTCATGCTCTTCATGCTCCTCGTGCTCCTCGCCAACGTTTCCAGTGCGGTTCCTGAACCTCATTCTGTAAGCCTCGCGTTCCTCTTCCTCTTCCCCCTTGCTCTTCTCCTCGATCTGGTTCTTCACCTTAGCCCTGCTCATCAACTTCCTTTCTCTTGTCTCCCTCCCCCTGCTGTGCCCAGATGTCGCCCGATCCCCTTGCGCGCTCTCTGGCTCCATCCCGCCCTGTCTCCCTGGACGACGGGCAAGGTGCTGCAAATGCTATTCAGAGGCCCGATCCGACACGGCTATTCGAAATGCGTTCCGCGCAGTGAACGGGGATGGGAGGAAGGGGTAGTCTGTCAGATGGGGCGTGATTGCACAAATGTTGCCTTTCTTCTATCTCCTCTATTTTCTCGTCTCTCGTTGTAGTCGTTGTCGTCGTCGTCGTCGTCGTCGTCGTCGTCGTCGTCGTCGTCCTCGTCCTCGTCCTCGTCGTCGTCTTCGTCATCGTCGTCGTCGTCCTCGTCGTTCTCGTCGTCCTCGTCGTCGTCGTCGTCCTCCTCCTCCCGGTGCATCGGCTTCTTCAACGTCGCCGACCTGGACCCCGAGTGCCCGCGCTGGTTCGAGGAGAGCCCCAACACGCCCAGGACCCACTTCCCAGGAGAAGAATGGAAGGACGGATGGAGGGAGGAGGAGGAGGAGCAGGAGGAGGAGGAGGAGGAGGTAGGATGTGTGGGAAGGAAAGAAGATGAACATGATGATGATGATGACGATGATGATGGTGATGATGATGGTGATGCTGATGTTGATGTTAATTCTGACGATGATGCTGCTGTTGATGATGATGATGATGATGATGATGATGATGACGATAGTGACTATG